TCTGGTATTTGGCATCCACCTCACTCACCTCCCTGTAGATTCCCAGGCTCTCTGTCCGTCTGTTCACTCCTCCCCACCTCATCCTGCCTTCCTTCCAGCCCTGAATCCTTGGTGTCTCTCCACTTCCAGCCTTTGTACGTGTTGCCTGCCCCACATGTTGTCCCTTCATTGAGAGCTGCCTGTGGTTGCCCTGGAAACCTTCCTCTGCATCTTGAGCATCCAAAGGAGTGTAAAGTTCATCGCTCACTTAGCTGCTTCTTAACAATGCAGGGTCTTGGATCCCCCACCCCAGAGCACCCTCCTATTTGACACGTGCTGCTGCCCAGGGCTCCAATTGTCTAGAAGGCACATGGCAGATGTCTTTGTTTGTGTAAGATGACTTAGGTTTCTCTTTTTGTAAGCCAGTCCTCTGTGCACTCTGGTATCTGGACCTCCGCCATCATCCTTGAAGTATCTTCTTCACATGTTTATTTAGTGAGGGGTGGCTAGTGGTAAAACTCTCCGGATTTTTATCTGGAAAGTATATTTATTTAAACTATAAAATAGCATTTCAGTTGTGGTGGGGCATGCTTATAATCCCATGCCTTGGAAAAGACAGAGGTAGTTCAAGGCCAGTCTGGGCCATATAGCAAATTCAAAGCCAGACTGAATTACATGAGAGCCTATCTTTAAAAACAACACCCCAAAATCCACCAAAATGAACAGAGAATAATCAGCCAAAAACTTCAAGTCAATGTGCCAGCTTTCTTGTTGCTCTGACAGAAATATCTACACAAGCAACTTGAAGGAGGGACGATACACTATGGCTCCCTGTCTCAAAGGTGTCTGTCTATGTTGTGTGGCACCAGCTTTGGGCAGCACATCAGGGCAGGAACATTTGGTAGAGAAGTTGTTCTAACTTCTTGGCAGACAGGAAGCAAAGAGATGGGAGGTGCCAGAGGCAACACCATAGAACCTGCCACCAGTCTCCATTCCTCCATCCCCCCTAAAGTTTCCAGAAAAGCCTCCCCCATAGTGCCACCAGCTGAGGATCGGCACTTGTGGGGGTAACCTTTATAACCAAATGTAACAGTGTGGTGCTGCCTACCTGGAACTTCAGAACTCCAGAGGCTGAGGCAGGAGGATAGTGGGTTAGAGTTCAGCTTGGACTATCCAGCATGACCCTGCCACAAGAAAGCAAAACCAAAAGAAGAATTACATTTGATTAATAACATCTGTGTGTATTTAGGGGTACCAGAGAACATTTAGATACACAATACATTGTAGAATAATTAAACAAACCAATCAACTTTTCACCCTCTCAAGTTTCCAGTAAAGATGTTTAAAACATGTTATCTTACTAATTAAAAAAATACATTATATTGGCTAGAGAGATGGCTCAGAGGTTAAGAGCACTGGCTGCTCTTTCAGAGGTCCTGAGTTCAATTCTCAGCACCCACATGGTAGCTCAAAACCATCTGCAATGAGATCTGGTGCCCTCTTCTGGCCTGCAGGCAGAATAGTGTATGCATAATACTATATACATAATAACTATAGCCCTGGGCTGTGTAACAGATCTTAATGACTTGCCCTCCTGTCTAAGGGCAACTGTGTTTCTTGGTGCCCAGCTCCTGGTCTTCACCACTCTATCTCTGCTCATCAAATGAGAGGGCGCACACATTCCCTTCCTCAATATCCTGGCCAGCACTTGTGGTATTCCATCTTTCTTGGAATCATCATCCTAATTAATGTCAGGTTACATTTCATTATGGCTTGAATTAGCTTTCCCCTGGTAACCAGTGATACTCAGTATTTCTCTACAAACTGGGAACTACCTGTATGCCTTCTTTTGAGAAGTGTCTAGGTAGAGTCTTTGTTGATTTTAAGTCACGCGATTTGTTTTCTTGCTACCAAATTGTTTTTTAAATTTATGGTTGTCTGAAAAATTTGTTTTGCACTTAGTTTAGGAAAATGGTGCATAAAAATCGGAGTTAGGAGGGGTTTTTTTTTCCTGAGCATTATAAAAATACTATTTCACTCTCTTGGTTCTGCCACAGATTCATTAGACTTATCTCCTTCCTTTTTTTTTTTTTTAGATTTTCCTGTCTTTGGTGGTCTGCAATTTTGATATGCTGTGCTTAGGTAATGTCACTTGTCATTTTACTTAATACACATTAGAACCCTTACCAATGCTTACCTTTCACCAGTTCTGACTTATTTTAAGTAAAATGTCTCCAAATACTGACTTTGATATTTTAATAAGACTTTTCTTGGCTCTTTGTACACAATCTTTTGTAGTTCTTTATGATTCTTGACTTCTTATCTCTTGTGTTACATTCCTGATCACTTCTGGGCAGGAGCTCTACCACTGAGCTACAGCCTCAGCCTATCTTGATGACTTCTTCAGATTTGTCTTCTAGTTCATAAATCCTGTGTCTAATTTGCTGGCCAACTCTGATGAGTTTTCTTTTTTCTTTTTTTAACAACTTTATTGAGATATAGCACATTACTTAACATAAAATTCACTCTTTTTTTTTTTTTTTTTTTGGTTTTTTGAGACAGGGTTTCTCTGTATTGTTTTGGAGCGTATCCTGGCACTTGCTCTGGAGACCAGGTTGGTCTCAAACTCACAGAGATCCGCCTGCCTCTGCCTCCCAAGTGCTGGTTCTAAAGGCGTGCGCCACCAACACCCGGCTAAAATTCACTCTTTATTGGATACATGTCAGTGACTTTTAGTGTATTAACAAAATTGTGTATCTATCACCATGATCTAATTGTAGGGCATTTCATTACTACAAAATGAAATTTTAATCATTTCACTTCTTAATAGTGCCCCAAACTGGTCATTCTCTCTCCCGTCCTCCCCCATACTTGGATAATCTTTCTGTCTTTGTTGGATTTTAAAATTTTGGGCATTTCATATAAATAAAATGGGGTTTTTTTTGCTTTTGATTTTTTGTTGTTGGTAGTTTGGGGTTTTTGTTTTGCTTTGCTTGGGTTTTTGCTGTTGTTCCTTCTTTCTTGGTGACTGGCTTCTTTTACTAAGAATTCTTCCAAGGTTTCTGTTGATCTTTTATTAAAGTGAAGTTTCAAGTTTTTCTTTCTTTCAGATAAACTTGCTGTTCAGCTTGTGCTTACGTGTTCCTTCTTTTAGCATGTCTTAATAAGTATATTGTTTTTGTATTCTAGGATTTAAGTTGGTTGTTGGTGCTTATCTCTGTGTGACTTTGGTTTGCTAGCATTGGAGTAAATCTAGGCAGGCCATCAGCTTTTTCAGGTGGTGGTCATGATGAACAGGGTATATGGACCATTCACTAGCCTGCTGGCAGCCTGTTCCCTGCATTTCCACAGAAAACACTTACCTAGAAGCCTCACCAGGCCTCTACTCTGCAATAATCCATACTAAAGCTCATTCTCTGAGCCTGTGTGCAGGCTCAGGCTCCACCCACACCTGTCTCTGTGCAGCATGCTGGCTCTGAGCGCCACTGTGATATTGACTCATTTTTTGAAAAGAATTGTGTATGAACTAATTCTTACCCTCTGCACTCTCTTCTTCTATTTCCTTTCTTCAGAGTGTCTAGCCCCTCTCTTCCTCAGCACTCTGCGAACTACTCAAGTGCTCAGGCAGTTTGATCCCATTATTGGCCGCATCACCTAGTGACTAGTGTGGCGATGGGGAGGAGGCTCTATCACTGTATGTTCCCCTTACCTGAAACTCATCACTCAGACAGCAAGGCCCTGTGCACCTACACTGAAGTAATGTATGTGCTGTTAGAAAAGGAGAACAGACGCTATGAGCTCAAATTCACACCCCAGGTTGTCACATCTAGTAAGGATCTGATATTAGTGACAGTCATTTGTCTGGTGTGAGGTTCGTGGGCAGAGGGGGCAGAAACCAAGGTCTGCCTAGGGCTTTCCTGATGGATAAAAAGGAGCTGTGGCTTACTACTCAGAGCCCAGGTGTGGATCTGGCCAATGCTCCCTATAGCAAGATCAGGGTTGTCACCTTCTGGGTGTGGGTGTGGTTGGTGACAAAAGTCCCTGGGGCTGGATTGCCCGTGGGCGTCATGGTGCTCTTAGGAGTACAACTGGATGGAACAATTTGAAGCAAGGTGGAGGTTGGGGAGGGAGGAGCCCCAAGGCTGGGCGTCTGAACCCCACGACT